TCTCACTTCTTTAGGGTATATACCTAGTAATGGGATGGCTGGGTCAGAAGTGACCCTTATTTCTTACATGTCGTTGTCGTTGGGTGCCATCAGTCAGTTGGAACTCAGGGCGACCCCATCCACGTCCAACAGAATGGAGTTCTGCTGGCCATGCCGCACCCTCACAGTCACTGCGGGACTTGAGCCCAGTGTCACAGCTTCTCTGTCAGACATCTCAATGAGCGTCTTCCTCTTTTTCACTGACTGGCTACTTGACCGGGCACGATGGCTTTCCCCAGGACTTGGTTTCTCCTCACGTCATGTCCAAAGTGCCTGTGTCGGAAGTCTTGTCACCCCTTGCTTCACAGGAGAATTCTGGCCGTCCTTCTGAGACGCATTTGGGCAGTCTGTGGTACAGTCACTTCTTTGCCAACATATAATTCAAATGCACCTATTCTTCTCTGATCTTCCTCATTTGGTAGGCAAGTTTTGCATGCATAGGAGGTGATTGAGAGTACCATGGTTTGGGTCAGGCACACCTTAGTTCTCAAAGTGATGTCTTCACTTTTGAACACTTTCAAGAGGTCTTTTGCAACAGATTGGCCCAATGCAATATGTCCTTTGCTTTCCTGACTGCTGCTTCATGGGTGTTGATTGTGGATCCAAAAGTAAAATGAGATCCTTGACAACATCGGTCCTATCCCCATTTACCGTGTATATAGTCCATTATCTTGTGATAGGCGGGGGTTTTTTCTGTTCTGATTGTTTTTTGTTTAGTAACAAGCCACCTAAAACGTAGTGTGCAAAGGTGCCAGCCGTGTTCCTTGCTTGACAGCCGTGCACTCTGGTTGGGGCTCACCTGGGCAGTCCTTTCGCCAGTCTTGCTGCTGGTTGTGTGTGTAGCTGCACTCTGTCAGTGAGTCAGCTAGCAGTTGGGCAGTGCTGGGAGCCGGAGCAGTCAGGCCTCTCGGTTCCTCCCTGCGTACGTTTCCATCTTCCATCAGGGTGGGAGGCTCCAAAGCTTCCAGCCTTCCCGAGGCTCAGGCCCGGAACTCCTGGCCCCAGTTCTTCTGTGTTCCACAAGTGAACACGGATTGCAGCCTCATCCTGATCCTGGGGCAAGAGGCTACTCGAGGCCCTGCAGAGGCCCCACAATATCAGTGTCAGCACCTCCTGCTTTTAGAGACCCTGACTGCACCCTCCAGATGTCACCCTGTTTTCCTGCTTGGTTCCCACTTGACGGCAGTGAGGTTTTCCCCCGTCTTATTTGTAATTCATACTCTGTCCTCAGTCCCATTGGGCCTCCCTCCCTGGGATTCTGACTGCCAGGGGCCTGTGACACCCGATTGACAGCCTATGTGCATTCAGTAAGCCCCATGTGCAGTCGGTCAGCCCCGTGTGCACTCTGTCC